TTAGAACAGAGGGGGAATAAGGGGGAGGGCTAGTATCTATGAGATAATGATATTGGGGTGATAATTGGGGAAGTTATCTTTGTAATGGGTAAGGTAATTAGCATCTTTGTGAAGGCCCATTTGTAAAGTGTCAAATTTAAGCATGAATGACAATTCTGGGGTTTCCCTTTGTAGTCTGGTGTTAAAGTCTCTTTGAAGTAAGATACATTTTGTAAGGTCGTTAAGACTCTGCTCAGGTTGGTTGAAATGAAAAGAAACTGGTTTATCTTTGTGAAGGTGTCTGATGTCTGATTTGTGGGCATTGATTCTTTGGCGAAGTGTCTGAGAAGTTTGTCCAATATACATAGCAGAAGGACACTGTTGGCACATGATGGCATAAATTATATTTCTGAATGAACAGGAATATGTGTTCTTGATCTTGTAACTGACATGGTTAGGTCCAGTGATGGTATCACCAGAGTAATATGCGGACAAAGTTGGCAACGGGGCTTGTTGCAAGAGAAAGTTCCAGGATTGGTATTGGTGTGGTATGTCCCTAAACACCTAACACATCTTTGTGGATACAGTGTTCTTTTTGTGACATTTTAAGCACCTAAAAGTTAGATGCTATGACTCTTGGCAATGCAACATCTAAGTCCCTTAGTGGATTCCCACCCAAACAGCTTTGAATCTTGCTAAATTCAGGGGACAAAATCATGAGGCATGTAAGCTATAGCCTAACTTCTCTGTTCAAGTCTTCAGATTTTCCTTCCCAGGTAGCATAAAATAAATTTAGTGTTAAAAATATCTTAAATCTTTAGAGTAGATGCTGTAAAATTATGGTAAGGTTAAAAAGTAAGGTGTGAAATTGTTTATAACAAAAAAAAAAGAGATTTTTCAGGAAAAAGGGATTTCCCAAATCTGATATGTCTAAAAGTACTTTTTGTGAGAGCTTTATCATTTTCAGTTAAAACAGCTTATATTTCTTGCCATGTTGGAAATTCTAAGGGCTTATCTAGACTACAGGGAACAGTCGAAAGAGGATATGCAAATTCTGAGGATTTGCATATCTTCTTCCAATCACGCTTTCGAAAGTGAAAGTAGTTTAGATGTGGCTTTTTCAGCGAACTCCCCCCCCCCCATTTGTCGAAAAGCCACGTAAACCTCACTTTTGCCAGAGCTAGGGAGCATTGCTCCCACTTAGGTACGGCACGACAGACCTGCCAATATTACTCTCATGTCTACCACATCCTGGGTGGCAGGTCAGTCCCTGCCTCGGCCCCCCCCCTGCCTCTTCCGACACCTGTAGTGGACTCAGGTCTAGAGAAGCCCATCATTGCCCACAGGGGGCAGAGACACTGAGGAGGAGGAGGAGGAGCCAGATGAGGCCAGCACCGTCTCTATGCCTGCAAGCCAGGGCCTCGTGCTCACCCTGGAGCTGGTACCCCCCTCTCTGGATGTCTCCGAGGTTTCGACAGAGGCCAGGAAAGGCCCATCAGGTGAGTGCCATTCCTTCTTGGCCTAGGGCTCGCACAGCAGCCTGTGCACATGGAGTGCCAGTCCAGAGCAGACAGCCTCATGAGGCTGCCACACAGGAACCTTTCACTCCTTCTCATAAGATTGCTGGAGAGGCCTGTAGGATCAGGGGAGGCCTGCCATACTCCTGATGCTGGGGTGGGACACTTTCCCACCACAAGCCACCACTAGAAGGAGGTTGGAGACATGGAGATACACACACACACACACACACACACAGGAGTGTTGCACATGGCACAGAGGCATGACCACATGATCAGTGCAGCAGCCGCCCCTGGGGACAGCATAGTGAGGTGCAGGAGTATCTGCCACTCACAAACATCTCCCCCCTTCCCCAGGGGCAGTTGACCGTTTTGCGGGGCCCAGGGCAGTATAATCTTGCGGGGCCCCCCTTTGCCACAGCGCACGCGCAGGGCTTTTTAAAGCGCGGGGCCAGGGGTGGCCGCCCCGATCGCCCTGCCATATATCTGCCCCCCCCCCAACACCCTGTCCCTACTTCTCTGGTGGCCAGGGATACAAGTCCTCTCTTCATGGGACACCACCACTGCTGGACCTGGTGTGTGTGCAGCATGGAGGGAAGCCCAGCCTCCCCATGTCCCCCTGTCCTGCTCTCAGGTTCCCAGTTTGGCTGGCACCTTCCCATGCCTGCTTGTCCCTGGGACACAGAGGTACTGAGGCTCCCCCCTGGATATCTGGGCCCCTCAAGGAAAGGGCCACTGTCTAGGCCACAGAGGGCCTTGCTCCAAGCACATCACCTTCATCTGACTCAAGACCTTTCGGTCTTGACTCCCAGATGAGGCCAAGGCTTTAGGCACAGTGTCTCTAAGGATGACTGACCTTTCTATTCTCCACAGCCAGACCAGCTGCAAGAGAGGGGTTTTCAACACCACCCATGGCAGCCTCCTGACCCTGAGTGACCCACCAACGCAGGAGAACCCAAGAAAAATTCCAGCTGGAGCACATTTCTGCATTGAGATTCCTGCAGCACGCCCTGGACCGGAGGCTGCAGGAGGAAATCCAGCTGCGGAGAGACACCTGGATGGAAATGCTGAATCAGGGCTGCACTATCTGCGCAGTTGTACTAGCACTCATTGCTGGCATGGTGCCTGCTCTTGCTGCCACTCCTTTTCCTGCCCCTGCCCTTCCTACTTCTCCCCCTTACCCTCCATGGCCACCGAGGTTCCCTGCACCCGAGGCAGTGGGACCACCGGAGCCAGGCACCACGCCGAGCCTCAGCCCTGGGCCTCTCTTTCCCCCCCCCTCCCAGTTTCTTTCCCCAGTCCCTCCCTAGTTACTTCTACCCCCAAATAAAAAAACAAAGTTTATTTTCTCTAAAACAAAAAGTGTGGTTTATTGTCTCTGCAGGGGAGGGAGGAAGGAAGGGTTGTGGGAAGAAAGGCACAGAGGGGCAATGCAAAGGCCCTTAGTGGAGAGACCCAGTGGAGAGTATCACTGGGGTCCCTGTCAAAAACTCTCCCTTAGGGCCTCCTGGATGTGCACAGCCCCTTGTTGAGCCTGCTGTGTGCAGCTGCTCAAAGGTCCTGCCGAGCCAGTCAGCCTCTGCCCTCCCACCCCACCCTGGCAGGAACATCTCCCTCCTCCTTCCTTTCACAAAAATTGTGATGAACACAGCAGACGACCACCACTTGGGAGATGTTTGGCTCCCTGATGTCCAGCCAGGTGAGGAGGCAACGGAACCACACCGTCAGATGCCCCAAGGCGCTTTCCACCACCATGCGGACCCTGCTGAGCTTGGCATTAAAGTATTCCTTGGTGTGGTCAAGGTGTCCATTGTAGGGTTTCATTAGCCAGGGCAACAGAGAGTAGGTCATATCCCCTGCAGTGTACGTCAGCTTGTCCACATCCCTGACTCTGATGGTGCGGTCGGAGAAAAAAATGTCGGCATGCAGCTTCTGGAAGACACTGGGGTTGCTGAAGATGCAGGCCTTGCACGCCTTCCTCAACCACCCAACATAGATGTCCGTGAACCAGGCATGGTGGTCGTAACGGCCTGCAGAACCATTGAAAAGTACCCCTTCCAGTTAATGTATACAAATGCCCAGTAGTTGGGGGCACAGATGAGGATGTGAGTGCCATCAGTAGCCTCCCCACCCCCTGCAATTGGGGAACCCCATATTGACAAAGATGGCAACGATGGGGTCCATGTCACTAGGTTGATGACCCTATGCAGCATAGTATTGATGGCCCTCACCACCTGTAGAAGGAAATAAATAAATAGAGAATCACAGGGTTGCCGGAGGTCCCTCCCCCACACACACCAGGAGCAATCACCTACTTACCCCATCCCTGACAGGGCTTTGTGAACACAGAACTGAAAAACCTCCTGGGCAGGGGGTTTCCACCAACAAAGCAATCCCCACTTTTCCTAGGGTACCCCTTTCCAGCACTTGACCACCCTCCTGGGACAATAACCAAGAGCGATAACCTGCGTGACTAGGGCACCAACGATCAATCTCCCCATGCCGAACTGTTTCCTGATGGATCGGCAGCTGTCTGGCATAGCGAGCTTCAAAATGGCAATGGCTACCCACTCCTTAAGGGGGATGATGGGCACATGTGGGTGTCCTGTCACCTTGAGGGCAGGGGCAAGCCACTCAGACAGCTCCAGAAAGGTGTCTTTCTATATATAGAAATCCTGGAGCCGCTGCTGATCGTCCCACCACTCCATAACTATCCAGTGTCCATGCTCCAGATGTAGCAGTGCATGGTGGGGTCCAGCTGCATGAGTTGTTCCCGCAGAGAGATGGGGAGGTTCTCCCTAATGAACTTGGGTTTGCGTTCCTGCAGGGCCAGGAAGGCAGCTTGCAGAAACTGCTGCAGGACCTGCAGCACGACAGACAAGCGCTGTCTAGTGCTCACTGTTTAGCGAGCTGAGATGTCCACAAGGGCAACAAAAGCAGGCAAAGGAATGGGTTATTCTGTCCCTCAAGTAGGTAGGTAAAAGAGAGGAACCTGAGACATGGCTGTACAAGGGGGTCCCTTTAAGCTCAAACCTCAGATACTTCCTCGAGCTGCTGCCTGAGGCTAACTGCTGTCCTATTGCCCTGCCTGAAGTGCTTCCAGGTGGCTTTAAATGCGATTAAGTATCCAATGAGTGTGGACTCTCTATTTCAAAATAGCTCCGTGTTATTTCTATGGGCGGACATGTAGACGCACTATTCCAAAATAAGCTATTTTGGAGTATTTCTTCCTTAATAGCTTATTCCGAAATAAGTTTGCCGTGTAGATGTACCATTATATTCTTCTCTGTGTTATAATATATCAAGGACACTCAGAGCTCTGGATGGGAACCCTTTGGTGAGTTTGTTTAAGGAAGGCTGAAATCTGAAATACAAATTATATTTTATGGAAATTAAAGTTTACTTTGTCAAAATCTGATTACTGTATTCTAAGGAATTAACACAAATGAGGAAATATTTTCATATAGTACCAGTATTAATGCTTTTTTTACTCTTTGCCAACAGGTATCACTGTGGATAAGTATGGATTCATTTACTTTGTCGATGGCACCATGATTCGGAAAATTGATGAAAGTGGTGTGATAACAACAGTAATAGGTTCAAATGGTCTCACATCAACACAGCCACTGAGCTGTGACTCTGGAATGGACATTACTCAGGTAGACCTCACTGATTTTCATGCATTGTTACTATTCATCACATTGTGGAAATGGGTAACTATTTTTACTGTATAAAATAGCCATAAAAGGATGCCCAGTTAATCAGTTAAAACTAGGTGGCACAAGATTTCAGACACATTTATTAGAGCAGTAGTGATATTTGATAGTATTTGGAGCTTACAAACAGATCACTTAAATAAATCTGAGATCTACATATAGAAAAAGTATGCATGTGACTTTCACAAATGGCCCACATATATATTATGTGTAGGGCCCTACCAGATTCATGGCAATGTCTCTCCCTGTGACATCTGGTCATTTGTGTGTGCTTTTATCTTATACTATACTGGTATCATGGGGGGAAAGCAGAGTTTCTCGAAGAGGGGGTCCTGACCCAAAAGATAGTTGCAGGGGGGTCACAAGGTTATTTTAAGGGGGTCATATTATGACCCCCTTACTTCTGTGATGACTTTAGAGCCGAGCAGTGGCTGTTGGCTTAATCCCCATCTCTGAAAGCAGTGACCTGCCAGCAGCAGTGCAGAAGAATGGTAATATCATACTGTGCCATCCTTACATCTGCACTGCTGCCTTCAGAGCTGGGTGGCTGGAGAGTTATGGCTGCTGACTGAGGGCTCAGCTCTGCAGGCAGCAGCATAGAAGTAGGGGTGGCCATGCCGTTCTTTCTTCTGTGCTGCTGGTGACGACTCTGCTTTCTGAACCGAGATCCCAGCCAGCAACTGTGGCTTTCTAGCTACCCAGCTCTTAAGGTGGCACTGCCACAAGCAGCACCACAGAAGTAAGGATAGCAGTAGTGCAACCCTCCATACAATAACCCTGAAAGCCCCCCACAACTTCTTTTTGGATCAGGACTCCTACAATTAGACCACTGTGATATTTCAAATTTAAATAGCTGAAATAATGAAATTTAGAATTAATGGTTCTGTGACCATGAAATTGGCCAAAATGAACTGTGAATTTGGTAGGATCATAATTATGTGTGTGTACAGGTGCTTACATGCTTACACTAATAAATCTATACAGTATGTCTACAGAGATTGCTTTAAAAATTTACAAGCTACTATTACATGTGTCCTTTAAAAGCTGGTGATAGAAGGTAAAATCTGTATAGAAGGTTTAACAATCTACCTTTAGCCTAGCTTTCTGACACTGATGTGCTTGCATCATTTAATAGAGAAGAAAAATGATATATTGTGGCTGGCCAGGTCTCTGCCATGGAGCACTATGAATGGGTTGCTGGAAGAACTTACAAAATAGCAGCTACAGGATACAGAAGCTACAGCTTTTCAATTCATTTTTAAAGTGCTCTTCAATTCTTAATTCAAAGACAACGTAACAGAAATTGAACAAAAAGGCACTTTCCCCATCTGGTTTATATTCAGAACCAGACTGACATTTATATACAAAACAGACAGATTTTCAGAAAAAGGAATTATTGAATAGTTAATGGGCAGCAACACTAAAAGGCAGATGGTGTCGGCCAGTATCTACTTATTCAATGCTGTCTCCAAAATAAAGTAAAATATATCTGCGTCAAACAATTAGAGGGAGTTGAAACTCAAAACATTTACATTATAGGATGTGTGTGATTATACCTAAGTGTCTAATGGGTTGTTTGGGGTTATTTTTTCCTATGTATTTTAATATTTTGACATTGTAAACCATAGCTGATATATATTTATAGAACAACCCTCTGAGTTGTATCTAATTCATATAAAGGATTTTAATGGTTGCAGTTTACCATGAGGGTCTGATCCTGCATTGCTTGAAATCAAGGGAGTTTCAGGCACACAAGGAATGCAGGATTAATCTCCTGGTTTGTGTATAACAAGCTTCTTGATTTATGGGCCAAATTTGGTCTTATGGGGCAAAACCCTCCCATAGAGAATAGGAAACTGAGACATCCAGATCAGACTGCCTGCCCCATCAGGGAGAAAGCTTTATTCTTATCTTACATAGAAAGTGCCAGGGATTCATATTGCCAAACTAGTGGATGCCCTGGATTACACATGGACTTCTTGTCATTGCTGATGACCCATGCCTTCCCTACATCTGCCTATGCCCATTATCATGCAGCTATTATCTGCCATCTCAGTAACTCTAAAGAATGAGACCTTGCAGGAATTAATTATGCCTGGAGCATATTTTAAGTACTACTGTACTTGGATATATGTATAGCAACTGCCTGCAGCATATGTGTAGCATTAGATACCAGATCAGATATCTCTAAAGTCTGTCAGGAATCTCACTGTGCAGAGAATCTGTTCCCTTGATACCTTGCTTCCTAGCTCTGGATCTGCAATGGAGCCCCATTCCATGGAACTCAGACAGAGGGAGCATCTAAAGTATCATGGGTGAGGAAAAGCATGCCTCTGAGTAAGCTCTTGCCCTAGTCCATGTTGTTCTGCACTGCCATGTTGACAGGTTAGCTCCTTTCCATATGTGAAAGAAAAAAGGAAAATGAGTTCTGGTAATTAAATCCAACTGGTTCAAGGTTGGTGTTCTATAAATAGTACTATCCATGGAAATGGTTTTCACTGCATGTTTATCATCACATAGTGGTGCAAAAGCCATAACAAACTGTGATCTAGATGTATCCTGACTGCAAAAACTAAAATAATTATGAAATGAATTCAGAATGCATGCCAATAAAAATACCAGATATTGGGATTAAAAGGTATCTTTACAAAGGACACCTAAAAGTACTTATCTTTAAAAAGGCATCAAAAGGATCTAATTCCTTTTTTAAAAATCAAAATGAGGTATTAAATCCATCCCACATACATTGTATCACTGATGTCATTTCACCCTTCATCTATTGAATCTTTCCAGATAAAAGCCCTGGAATTTGAATCTGCAATTTATAGAAGCACCTATTTGTTTTTATTACTTATCCTATTGATTTTCCTCACAGTTTATATAACTAAATAGTTCCCAAATGAATGCCCCAGATTAAATGTCCTATGGTATCATTGAACCAAATTCTGTTTTCAGTCATGCAGGTAAATCAGCTTGTCAATTAAATTACTCTACAATTAAGTTGATGACAATTAATTTATCCTGGAACTGTATCTCTGTAGATGAGAGATTATTTGATCAAAATCCACTCTCAGATACACCCTCATCACCATTAACTATTAAGAAGTGACATAGCTGTAACTAAAAGCAGACTTTGCCATCACTACATTAAATTATATTTGGCTAGATCTCAAATAGCATTTACCTCAGGAATAAGTGGTTTATTCACAAATTATGCAATTAAGAAGAATTTGTGAACTAGGTTAATAAAATCTACTCTAAAAATTTAGTTTGCTCTGACAATAAAATGAATGACTTGTTCAAAATGAGTATTTTTTTATTTAGGGCATGTCTACACAGCAGCATTATTTTGAAATAATAACATTATCTTGAAATAACTATGCAAGTGTCTACAAGCCTACTATTTCAAAATAATTTTGAAATAATGGGCGGCTTATTTTGGAGTCCGTAACTCTAATTTCACAAGGAATAACTCCTGTTCTGAACATAGCTATTTCGGTATAGGGTGTGTAGACAGGGCATATGGGGTTATTTTGAAATAAGGGGCCTCCACCCCTTTCCATGGGTGACCTGCTGGCCCTTCTGTTCACACACAGCAAAACTCTATAGTTCCCCTTCCTCTGCAGGCTTTAAAGGTGCAGCTTCGGGGGAAAGGGCTTATGGCACATGGAAGGCCCTGACAGCCCTGAGCAATAAAGCAGCAGCCTGCACAGCTGTCCCTGCAGCCATGAGCCATACCCATGCTCCATCCAAGTCCTTCCTGGCTGCAGCCAAGCAGGCAGCCAGCTCCCAGGACCCAGCCAGGGAACGAAAGAGGTGCAAGCCTTCCTGGTCTGGTGCAGAGATCCTGGACCTCATTGAGATCTGGGGCAAGAAGGAAAACCTCCAGGATCTCTGCACCAGTTACATGCACACTCAGGAGCAGGTACACATGAAAGTGAAGGAGCTCAGGCAGGCCTATGCCACGGCCAGGGAGCACAGCTCCCACTCTGGGGTGGCACCCCAAACCTGCCTCTGCTATGAGTAGCTCTTCTGCATCCCAGGGGGCAGGTTAGTCCCTTCCCGCTGCCTCAGTGGTGGACCCAAGACTGGAGATGCAATTTTCACTTTCCCATGAGGAGGAGAAGGAAGAGGAGCTGGACAAGGCCAGCAGTGTGACAGTGCCAGCCAGCCATGAAGACATACTCGCCCTGGAGCTGGTCTCTTCCACCCTGGATGTCTCCCAGGCAACGCTTGATGCTTGGGAAGGCCCATCAGTTGAGTGTCATTAGTTTCCATAGACATACACAGGTGGAGGTGGCAGACAGCCACCACACATGCCAACCCCCCAACTGCGCATGATCCACAGGCACCAGAGGGCTAACAAGGACCTCCAGAGGGAGTATATCACTGCCCTGCAAGCCCTGCAGCGCTCCATGGACTGGCATGATTGGAGGAGGACCTGCAGCTGTGCCATGACACCTGGTGGAAGGTGCTGCAACAGGGCTGATCCATCTGTGCAGCCTTCCATTCAGTCATCGACCACCCAATGGCCTCTCCCGTGCTGGATCCTGGCCCTCCAGCTTCTCCCCCAACCTACCCCCGTGGACACTGAGAGCACCACATACGAGGCAGTGGCATCACACGATGCAGACGCCACTCCCTGCCCCAGCCCGGACTCTCTCCTTTCTCCCCCACCTCCTCCTTCCACCACCCTTCTCCCTCCCCCAGTTTCTTTCCCCAGTTCCTTCCCAGTTACATTCACCCAATAAAAATAAAAGAGTTGATTGTTTCCAAACAAAATGTGTAGTTTATTGGGGAAAGAGAGGGCAGAGGAAGGGAGTGGGGTGAGAGGAAAGGCAAAAAGGGGCAATGCACAGGCCCCTTGTGGGGAGGCCCAGAGGAGAGTGTCACTATGGTCCTTGTGAGAAGCTCTCCCTCGGGGCCTCACGGATTTGCACAGCCCTCTGATGGGCTTGCTGGATAGCAGCCATGCGTGGCTGCTCAAAGATTCTGTTGATCTGGTCAGCCTATGCCCCACACCCTGGCAGAAACATCTCCCTCTTCCTTTCACAGAGGTTGTGGAGGACACAACATACTGCCACTGTCTGGGGGACATTCTGCTTGAGGTGGTCTAGCCGGGTGAGGAGGCAATGGAACCTCTCCTTCCGATGCCTGAAGGTGCCCTCAACAACAATACGGGCCCTGATGAACTTGGTGTTAAAATGTTCCTTGCTGGGGTCAAGATGCCCAGTGTAGGGCTTCATGAGACAGAGAAGCTGAGGGTAGGCTGCATTCCCTACAACACAGACCGGCATGTCCACGTCCCCAACTCTGATGATGTGGTCAGGGAAAAAGGTGCCGGTGAGCAGCTTCTGGAACTGGCTAGAGTTTTGGAAGACACATGCGTCATGTGCCCTTCCCGACCACCCAACGTAGATGTCCGTGAACTGCCCACCATGGTCCAGGAGGGCCTGCAGGACAATCGAAAAGTACTCCTTCTGATTAATGTACTCAGGTGCCCAGTGGTCAGAGGCCCAGATGGGGATGGGGATGCTGTCAATAGCCCTTGGGGTTGGGGTCCACAGTTGGGGAAGCCAATGGTGATGATGGGGTCCATGTCGCCCAGGTTGCTGACTCTGCACAGCAGGATGGTGTTGATAGCCCTGACCACATGCAGAAGGAGAAAAACAGAACCACAGGGTTGCCAGGGACATCAGGAGGCCCTCGAGCCCCACCTCCTTCCCTTATACACACACACCAGGATCAAGCCTGACTTGCCCCTTCCACCATCAGGGCTTTGTGAAGGCAAGAGTGAAAAACCTCCCAAGAAGAGAGCTTCCATCCATCATTTACCACCACCACTCCACCTTCCCTACGGAACCCCACTCCAGCAGTTCAGTTCACGTCCTTCCTAGGACAATAGTAAGAGAGTCAAACCTGCATGAGCATGGCTCTGACTATCGATCTCCCCATGCTGAACTGGTTCCTGATGGATCAGTAGCTGTCCAGCATGGTGAGCTTCCAGATGGCAATGGCAACCTGCTTCTGGGGGTAGACAGTGGGACTCATGTGGGTATCCCATCATGTGAGGGCATTCTGGAACTATTGCTGGTCATCCCACCACTCCAGGACAATTCTATCCAACCAGTAGGAGCTAGTGTCCAGCTGCCTAAGGCAGCAGTGCACAATGTACAGGAGATGATGGGAGGGGTTGGGCAGAATGAGCAGACCCAGAGATCAGAGAGGAATTGCCCCACAATGAGCTGGGGGTCCTGTTCCTGAAGGGCAGGAAGTCACCCACAGAAACTGCAGGAGGTTCACCAAGACACAAAAGAGCTGTCAACTGCTGGGAGGCAGGTCTGGCTCTGTGTCTAGAGGGCTGAGATGTCCATAAGGGGAACCAGATCAGGCAGAGAAAAGATTTGGCAGTCTCTCAATGAGGTAGACAAAAGAGAAGAACCTGAGACATGGCTGTACAAGACCTTTAAGCTCGAGTCTCAGGCAGCAGCTCCAGGAAGTAAGTGCTTCCAGGTGGCCTTAAATGCAATTCAGCATCCAGTGAATTTGGATGCTCTGTTTTGAAATAGCTCAGGGTGTGTCTAAACTACATGGCTCCGTCGATGGAGCCATGTAGATTAGGTTGATCGGCAGAGGGAAATGAAGCCGCGATTTAAGTAATCACGGCTTCATTTAAATTTAAATGGCTGCTGCGCTCTGCTGACCAGCTGATGATCAGCTGTTTGTCAGCAGATCGTGGCAGTCTGGACGCGCCACGGTCGACAAGGAAGCCTTTGTCGACCAGCACAGGTAAACCTGGTTTCACGAGGCATACCTGCGCCGGTCAACAAAGGCTTCCTTGTTGACCCTGGCACATCCAGACTGCCCCGATCTGCCGACAAACAGCTGGTTATCAGCTGGTCGTCAGAGCGCAGCAGCCATTTAAATTTAAATGAAGCCGTGATTACTTAAATCGCGGCTTCATTTCCCTCTGCCGATCAACCTAATCTACATGGCTCCATCGACGGAGCCATGTAGTTTAGACACACCCTGAGGCTTCATTTCCCTCTGCCGATCAGCCTAATCTACATGGCTCCATCGACGGTGTAGATGCTGTATAGACGCTCTATTTTGAAATAATCTATTTTGGAGTATTTCCTCCAAAATAGCTTACTCTGAAATAAGCGTGCATTGTAGACATGCCCTTACTGAAATCAGGGCCGGACGGAGGCATGGGCAGCTGCCCAGGGCGCCAACTGATGGGGGGGCGCCTGATGGCAGCTGTAAGGGGTGCGCGGCGTCTCTTACAGCTGCCATCAGGCGCCATGCGCCCAGCTCCCGCAGCACCGGCCCGCCCACATCCCCACAGCGCTGGCCAGTAACGCCCTTCCCCTCTACACGGCTGTAGCCGGGCCGCGCATGCACCGTGCACCCGGGGGCGGTGCCGTGTGCCCGTGCCCGGGGCTCCAGAATACCTCGGACCGGCTCTGACTGAAATACCAAACAACTTTTGGAGTAAACATGGAGTATAATTGGCTACTGAAAATACTGCTGCATATAAATAGAACTTTCACTTTGATAGGTAAATTGATTATGAAAAAGTTTAGTGACATATTTCAGTACCAGTTTTGACCAGAAATATGTCTTAAAAATCATTAAGAACAGGTCACTTATTTCCATCTTAGACTTGACTAATGCATTTTCATTCTGCATTTGTAAGGAAAAGGAGATTGGGTTGATGTAGCTCTGTGATGAATTTGCTCTTCTTTTACCTGTACAGAACATAGCTGAATTCTGTTTTGATTACGAGCAAGTCAAATGAATTTAGTGTTCTCAGACAAGTCAAATGAATTAAGTGTACTTGGTCTAGTTACTAAAGGACATATTTTCAAAAACAGTTCAGGGCCAGACATTCCAAGTACTCAGAATCTGCATTTGAAGACAGAATTCCAAAAACAGTCAGTTCTTTTTTTGTACCAGAATATGGGCCAGATTCTCAAAAGGGATCAAAAAAACACCTAATGGGTCTCTTTGAGACATTGGTGGCCAGATTTTCAAGAACCCAATGTACTAGTTTATATTTAAAATCTGGACACTTATCTTAGTACATAAATGAGAGCTGAGCTCTTCTGAAAATGTGGCCCAATTGTAGGTGCTGAGCATTGTTGAAAATCTGGCTGTAATTATCACTTGCCTAATTGATCAAACTGGCAGAAGAAAAAATGGCACAATTAACACCCACTGCTTATGAGAAGCCCATTTCTGAAGCATCACAATTGTTACTGATTATGATTTAAATGTCTCAGAAGAGCTGTTGGGGAAGCTTAATAGGATCTTATTCTTCTCTTGCTTACACCTGTTACAGTTCAGTGGAGTTTATTGGATTTACAATAGTAAATGAGAGGAGAATCAACCCCCTACAAAATGTTTGGTTCTAACAAAGGCTAACAGTATTTTGCTCTGTAATAGGCCAAAATTCAATGTAAAAGAAGAAAAATCAAGAACAATGATAAAGGCCTTACTTCTTTCTATCTTCACTGCTGTGGAGAAAACTGAAGATGGAGTGTTGGTAGAAATGCCCATTTCCAATTCCATCATGTACCTTGTACCCATTATAACTATGTGACTTGATTCTTTACTGCCATGCGTTTTAGTTATTTCCCCTCTACACAGCATAAACTGCTATAGGACTTTATTTGATAGCATTTCATACGCACCTGGTACTCAGCCCATCGGAGATTAAAGTAAGCAGGTGCGCCCAGGTGTGCAGCTTCGGCAAGAGCTAGCTGAGCTACAGCAAGAGCCATCAAGGAGCTAGTTAAACAGTTGGCATGGACCCGGATTGCAATAGGACAGTACCTATAAGAAATTGTAAGTTCCTTTAACTGCTGCAGCCTATACAAATACAAATAACTACAAAGGTTCAAGGCAGTGGAGAATCAACTCCAAAATCTCTTCCTTAGCTTGTAAACCATGGTCTTGACCCTTCACTAATGTCAGTTCCACTATTGATGACGCTTTGCCAGAATAATAGCTTCTGACTGATTGATAGAGTTTGTAACTGTCACCACTGTGTCCTAAACTGAAAGTTCTTATTTGAAGATTTTCTGTCTTGACATTTGCACTTCATCAACCTTTGTTCGGCAGTTCTCCACTTGATGGATCCTATATATATTCTTTTGCTACACCTAAAATTCAAAGTGATACTACAGAATATTTTACTCCTTCACAAAAATGTGACAAGATTTATTTATATTTATGGTCTGTTCATCCAGATCAAATTAAGATATATATGTCGGAATGATGAGTAGGAGGAAAAAGCAGAAGATATAGAGATATTCTTTGAAAGCATTTGAAGCACTGGACACCCCACTTTTAAATCTTTGTAAATTGGCAGAAGGAACCCTACTCATAATGTGCTCAAGATGAGAGAGAATGCTACCAAGTGAGAATAAAGCTGAGTGGAATGATTTAAAATGTGACTTAAGATGTCACAAATGTAAACACTGACAAACCTCTTGTAGTCAGAAGGGTGACAGCCAGGCAAGCCATTAACAATGTCTGCCGGGGGACAAATTTGCATGCTTGAAGACCTATTGAATGGAATAGAAAGCTTATAGAATGCTCTGATATCCCTTGAAGAAAAATGTGAGAACCCGTTTTACAGAATAAATAAAGCAGTTAATTACATGACTTCTGCTGAAATGCAGTCAGATACAATAGAAGATTATGTGGAAGACAGAAGAAAGAGCCCATGAATGAGAGTCAGATGCATATACATACAGCTGCCAATATAAAAATTCATTTGATTTTAGAGTGAAGTACTTTTGAACAGTGCTGAGCATGGAACATAAAAAAGGTATTGCAGGATCATATTTATTTCTTTGGGGAGATTAATAGATCTATTTGCAGGCTGAAGGAAGACACACTATCTCCCGAGAAGTTTCACTACATTTTTTGCTATTGATGAAGCTACAACTTTTTTACTTAAACTCAGTGGAACCACTTTCTTGATCAGCTGAGCAATTTGCCATTGACATGATTAAACATTTTCATTCTTTTATTAATTAACAAAGTTAAGCCACTTGTTCTACTGGAAAGTCTACATCTTCTGGTACATAATTCTGCCTCTTCTTCACATGTTAAGGAAAAGGTCCGAGTAGAAAATCCACCCACTATGAGGAGGAAGAGTCTGTGTGATAAAGAAGTGAAGTGGTCCAGAGACCAATCCCCCTTTCTCATCATATTTAACTTCAGCATTTACTTTGTTTCTTTTTAAACACATTCTTTAAAAATAGCCCTTTGGATTATCAGCTTGGTTGTTTTACAAGAGAGAGAAATAAAACGAGCTCATGTCTATTGATTTGGATGGTATGATAATACAAAAAATAATGTCTATTTAAAAAGGTAATTTAGGAAACACTCTTTAACATATCTAGTATTCCTGTAAATACAGGAGCTATGGAAGTTTCCTAATAGGAATTCTATATTCAAATTGTGCTGGAGACCCTTCTATTAAACAGAGAGAGGGCAGCCACTTTATTTTCATTTTACCAGATCAGTACAAAACTAGATTTAGCTTTTGTTTTTGTCTTCTCTCTCTGAGGCTTATGATGATCTGTTAGTTCAGTCATGTTTAGCGGATGATACTGTAAACAGTCTCTGAGCACCATTAAGAAGGATTTTGCAGAAAGACAGTTGCTGCTGTTATTCTTGAAATTGATAAACAAAACAAAAAGTCTCATTTCTAGACCTTCAGCTATCACTAAGGTCCCTTCTTTAAAGAAATTAAGTTAAAAATGAAATGCTTTTCTTTATTGTCCATGGATGACATAAACCTATTTCTCTGCTATTTCTCTGATAATTATAGATTTTTTTAAGGAAAAACTAGTAATCAGGACCAACATTTTAATTGCAAAAACAAGCTGAGGGAGGATCCCTCTTAGCAGTTGGGAAAGGGAGGGAAGAACCCTTTACTGGTCTTTTTTTCACATCATAAGTAAGATTATACAGGCCTTAACCCTTTTTTGGTTTTGTAAGTTGCCTTTCTTTAGTGGGAGCTAAGGCAACTCAGCGCCTCACAAGATCAAACCCTTAAATAATAATAATAATGATAGCTGCACCTGTGTTATTTATGCAGTCAGACCCCTAAATAGAAATAAACTTGTTTTTCTGGATGTAATTTTAGAATATCAGATGGAAGGAATGACCAGTTCATCAGAGCCAAATTTCCCTGACAATGAATATGAAATACCATTCACACAGACATATTGCATGTGGTCTGTGGAACTCACTGAAGAACAGCAACAACAACAGCAACAAAAAATCAGAACTTCGTAACTTATTAGCAAGAGAGAAAACTACAAGAGTATTATTTTCTTTGTTGCCTTCATAGTTCTTAGTTTTCAAGGCCCAAGCTGTACAAAATGTGATAAGTCTGAAGAGACTGAAAAGATGTACTTTTTATAAGGCATAGGTAGGACCTTACCAAATTCACAGCCAAGAAAAATGGGCTATGGACCATGAAGAATGGTAGAGAGAGGTTGTAGGGAAGGGTTGCAAGGTTATTTTGGAGAGGGGAGGGGTTGGTGTTGCCATGATTACTTCTGTGCTGCTTTCAAAGCTGGGTGGCCAGAGAGCAGCAGTTGTTGGCCACATGCCCAGCTCTGTAAGCAGCACCCCATCAGTAGCAGCACAGAAGTAAGGCTAGAAATACCATAATTTGCCAGCCTTACTTCTATGCTGGTGCTGGCAGCTGCTCTGTCTTCAGAGCTGGGCTCCCAACCAGCAGCCACTGTTCTTCAGCTGCCGAGCTCTGATGGCAGTACTGCTTCCAGCAGCAGTGTAGATATAAGGGTAGCTGTACTACACCCTCCCTACAATAACCTTGTGACCCCACCACAATTCATTTTTATTCAATTATAACACCATGCAATTTCAGATTTAAATAATGACATTTGCTATTTTTAAAATCCTTTGACTATGAAATTGTTCAAAATAGACCATGAATTTGATAGGACCCTATCCATAGGACTAAATTCTGCCCTAAGTTACCCTGCAACCTGAGGAAGTGAGGGAGAGAGCAGCCACATAAAGGAGGGAGATCACAGATAGCAGCTACAGCATGGCAATTGAGAGAACAAATGTGAGAACAAAATAATGTGGAAGAGAAAAGAAGCTTCTTTTATATTACAAGTTGAGAGAGATAATGGGGTTGCAAGAGGTGAGTGTCAAGAAAAAAATTCACCAATTTCCTACTAAAGAGCACCATTAATAGGTTAAGTTTTTAGGCATGCATTATAAAATTTGTGACACAGAGAAATATAAATAGAACAACAATGAGTAGCATCTTGTATGATATGTTCTACTAACAATAACAACATTTATAAACCAATTAGCTAAAACAACTGAAGGACATTTTGCTTTTGCAAATTGGGCCTTCAGCTCCTGCTG